CTCCCGGACGCGGCGGAGGTGCACCAGGCAGTGGGACGTAGCCGTGTGCCCCCATGTCCCCCCTCTAGGCACTCGGATGAGGGGTAGCCTATTATCTCACACCCCTTTGTGCTTACTCACTTTCTTGCAGCTCTTTGGAACAGACGCTTCATAATAAAGCAAGCGTTAGGGATCTCCCCCTCCTCGCTGGTTGTACAGTTACTGAAATAAGCTCAAATGAAAGGAGTCTTGTTCCTCCCCTTTATTTCCTCCTCTGTGTTCCCCTGTGTTGGCTTTGAACAGAAACACTGCAGGTCGTCGGTGTCAAGCGAGTGAGTGAATGTCGAAGGGAGAAAAAGTACCTTAAAACCAGAGCTGGTCCGAGCAGTTCCCGTTTGGGAATCCTGAAAGCCCCTTGGCCTGTGACCGACGTCCTCGCTCGTTCCCTCTTTCTCCTTAAAACACCTCCTGTCCCTTTTGTTTGCACCTGTGGAGACGCTCCTGGGCAGCCTGCTTTATCTCCTCTCTCCCAAATGCGACGCGCGGGCTTTATGGCAACTCTCGCCTTGCCTTTATTTATGCGTGGTCTTTGTCTTTGTCCTGTTTTATAATTTAGACAGTAAACTGGCAGAAGACCTTGTTTCCTGTAATCTCTTTAAAGTGCTCTGCAAAGCTATAAAACGATAAAGATGTTAAGGGCCTTTTCTGATGCCAGAGACGACCAGACTTTCTACTCAAGTTTTAAATGGATATTTAGCAACTCCAATGTTATTGTGAAAAATTCCCTGTTAATCCCCGCAGTGAATTTTTACACTCTTGCTTTGTGCGGTTCTGCGCTTCCCCTCTATTAACGTAATGTTGTCTGTTACTTTGAAAGAGCGCACTGACCTTATGCTGTGCAGCTTGTGTTCTTTGCCTTGCTTTAGGCTTATTTTCCTGTGATTTATTAAAAAAAAAAAAGTGTTTGAGCTGTTGGCTCTACATGCTAATTTCTGGCAGGAGCCAAATATGTAGAAGCTGAGTTTTGCTGCCCACCCACTCTGTTTTAGAGCAGCATTAAAAAGCCACCTTGAAAATTTGGAATTTTGGGTTAGCAAATCCTTTTTTTTTGTTCCATAGGTTGCATAAATGAGCTCAAGTGGGAGATTATTTTTTGGCTGTGGATGGATTGCTCTTACGAATTTTTTTTTTTTTTTAAGAGATGATGCTGACTTGTTTGCAAAGCTTCAGGTTTTACAGCAGAATGCAGCTTATTTTTCTGCCTCTGCCCAGACCGCGGCAGACCCAGCTATCTCTAAATATAGTGGCAAGTACTGTGGTCCTGCTTTCACTGTGGACAGTTTATTTATCTCTCATAGTAGTGAGCAGGGCAGGCTTTTATCTCTCTTTGCCATGACATAGATACATCAGCAAGACTGAAAAAGAGCTTGACTGCATCCCACTGTTGCTTTTTAGCTCAGCTCTTCGCAGATTATAAATCCAGATCCGTGTTACCATGATTCTTTGGCTGGTTCAAACTGAAAATTAATAAATTGCATAGTGGGTGGGCTTTTTTCTTTCTATTTTAATACCTGAAGTTGCGCTAAGCTCCGTTTTTCTTTCTCAGTCAGATTCAGAGGAAGATGAACCAGCAAAGAAGAAAAATACTCTTCAGGTAAATACCTGGGATATTCGATTAAGCAAGTTTCACAGGAAAGAAGCATTTGACTGTAACAGACCTTGGGCTTCCACTAGTGTAAATCAGCCACTCTGATTAACGTGTGGCTTTTAGTGTGTAAAAATTCCTGAAATGCCCTGGGGGGTCAAGTGCCTTTTTTTGGGCAATTTCATAAAGTTAAATCTCAGAATAATAGGCATTAATTTGGGAAGTTGGCAGATATTTGCAGGTACCACATTTCCCTTAAAAGTCCCACTGGCCTTTTGCGCAAGAAAGCCCTGCAGCGTGTTGGAAGTAGCAAATGATTGTGCTGAGCAATGGGAAACCCATTAATGTTGTTAGAAATGGAGGAGATAATTGGCAGGGAGTCAGGAAAACTAAATAGTCTCACTCATTTCTCTTATTTCTGTGAACCATTTGCCCTGCATGAAACTCACCAGGGACGCGGCGAGGGCTCTGGCTTGTCCGCTTTGCTTCCTCAACCCAAAAATTTGACAGTGAAAGAGACCAATCGGTTACTTTTGCCCTACGCTTTCTCGAGGAAAGCAGGAGAAAATGCCTCTGACTCAAAGCCCGCTAAGGCCCCGACCTCTTCCTCCAAAGCCAAACCTCTGTCCAAGCCAGCGGTGCCCACAACTCCTTCTCCGTCCGCTATCAAAGCTGCTGCGAAGAGCGCTGCCCTGCAGGTGACCAAGCAGATCACGCAGGAAGAGGACGACAGCGACGAAGAGGTCAAGCCAGAGAACTACTTCTCCTTGTCTGACAGGAGCGAGCCCAGTGTCGTGGGCGCCGAGGCGTACATGTACTCTGGCACGGTGGTGTCGGAGGACCCACCGCCTGGGACAGAGACAGAGCCCCAGTTCCAGGACGCTGCTGCTAACGCCCCTCTGGAATTCAAGACGGGCGCGGGCTCCAGCGGTGCTCAGCACAGCTGGGCCCCCAAACCCGGAGAAGACTACGGCAGGCAGTGCCTACAGCGAGGCTGGCGTGGCTGGCGCGTATTATCAGGTGGGTTGACTGACCGGGAGGTGAAGCTTGACGGTGCTGCTCTGAAAAGGCATCTAGGACGAGGGGCTCTGAATTAGTTACTGGAGCAGGCTGCGCCTTGTGGGAATCTGACCCGTCTGAGCTAGCTGGGACAAGGAGCAGAGATCCACAGCACTTAGCACAACAGGATTCCTCTGGCACGAGAGCCGTAGATGCTTTTTGCTGGATAAATGTTTAATAGCTGCACTCATTTTAAAACGCCCCTGTGCAGCTGCCCCTGTTGCTGTCAGGGTGCAGAATTGGGGCTCGCCAGAGCTGGTGTCTGAAGCCAGGTTGTTTCTAGTAATTCAGCAAAGCATTTGTTGTTGAGTACCTCTGAAAAAATGCCCTGTACTATTCAGTAGTGCCAGTGATGAGAGGTGATTAATGACTACTTCAGTCAGCCAAGGAGGTACACGTCTAACATACTGTACTCCCTGGAGACCGAGTGAAATAAATCCCTCTAGGTGAAAACGCAGCAGCTCACGGTGTGAGATCCAGTGCTCTGTCTTGGGGCCTCTGTATATGGTTGCTCCAGGATCGATCTTGCTTCGCTCTCGTGACAAACTGGTTTTCCTTTTGCTGACAGGATTACTACAGCAGCGGTTACTACCAGGAGATGGAACCAGCCCAGGCACCGCCGCAGGAGATGAGCACCGACTCCTCCTTCATAGATGACGAAGCGGTTGGCACTTTACTGTCTATCCCGCTGCCGAGTTTGCGTTTAAGCTCTGCTAGAACATAGGACCCTCTTGGCAGCTGCAGTCTCGCCCCACCGGAACGACCTGTGCTTCACGCCGAGTTGGACGGGGTTGCTGTTCCGTGGGGTCTAGCGCTGTGTCGCGGGCACGTGCGGTGTCCTTCCAGTGGTCTGTTGGGCTGCTGCTCCAGATGGGTTTGCTTGCTTTATAAGTAGGTGATGTTTGTTATTTCCACCGAGCCCGGTCTCGTCCTCGTAAAGGGTATCTAGGGCAGACAAGGTGCACGGAGTAAGACGTTGCTCGCTGAGGTGCAGATGAGCTACTGTTCAGATACCTTCACGGTACATCCTCTAGCACAGTGGTGAATCCCCCACTTATTTCGAAAGCTCAGAAACCTGTTTTAAAAAATCCTTTCCCACTGTTGATGTAATCTAGTAGCTGCCAGCCTCGTTAGCTGAGCCAGTCAGTGCTGCAGAGTACAGTAGCCCAGCTGATGCTCGCTTCTTCCAGGGACCTCTCTGCTTTGGAGGTGGATCTGTGTTATGGGAGGTGGATGTATTAGCAAAACTTCAGGTGCCTCCCTAGCACTTAAAATGAGAGACCCAGGAGTCCGAGGGCGGGAGGTGGATGTATTAGCAAAACTTCAGGTTCCTCCCTAGCACTTAAAATGAGAGACCCAGGAGTCCGAGGGTCTTCTCCTGAGCAAGACTGAAAGGAAGAGTAAATGCTGTTTTCCTTTCTGTATAGGAAAATGAGATCATAACCGTCATGTAAACTAGTTTTAAGATATTCTGATCTATAGCAAAGCAGAACTCTTCTAAAGAAAAAAAAAAAAACAATCCTGGTTGGAAAAGTCTTTGTTGGTGTGGCTTGTCCCATGCTTGGGGAGCGAAGGCTCAGGCCCCACTACCTTTACTGTTTCAGGTTAGCATCGGTGCATGACGTGCGTGTGTAACTCCCGTTGTCTCTGTTGTTCTTTCAGTTCAAACGTCTGCAAGGCAAGCGGAATCGAGGGCGGGAAGAGATCAACTTTGTGGATATCAAAGGTGACGATCAGCTGAGTGGAGCCCAGCAGTGGCTGACGAAATCCTTAACAGAGGAGAAGACCATGAAATCGTTCAGCAAGGTATGGGCAGGACGGGAGGAGTGCTGGCTGGGATTTTGGAGACCTCTGTTCAGTTCCTCTTTCAGCCGCAGCTGGAGCTGTCTTAGATGCTGTGCGGTCACCAGGGTGGGGGGACAGGGACCTTTGTGTGGTGTGTTGTATAAATACACGAGAGACCAGTAGAGCTTCCTAAAACATAGTCCCAGCATGCAGGTGGTAAAGACCAGCCAGGAACTGCTTCAGCCTAAGGAATCTGCCCAAATGCTTCTTGAAATGGTTGTGCAAGCTCTTGTCTTGTTCTGCTCTCTGGGTCAGTATCTTTCCAGGCTTAACAGTTCATCTGCTTTTGCTTTCTAGAAAAAAGGAGATCAACCCACGGGACAGCAAAGGAGAAAACACCAGATCACATACCTGATCCATCAGGTGAGTGGCCTCCCTCTAGCGTGGAAACCCATCCAGGCAGAATTACAAGGCTTGACGCCTTGGCAGCGTGAGGCAGGGCTGGTGG